TTTAGAATTTCAACATGCTTTAACCTTCTCCATAAATATTGACTTTTAAAGTCTCAGTGCTTGCAGCCAAAGTCTCACTGTTTGCGGTCAAAGGCTCACTGTTTATGTGACTTCCTGTATTATCTGCGATGATATATATTATGGCAGGTTTTATAAGGGGTTGGTTATCATTGAGATTCGATATTTATGGGGTGGTTTGGGCAGGTTGAATGCTAAAGATTTAAAGAAAGAATCCTGGGTTGCTAATGGAGAGTCTTATTGAAATGTACAATGTAAATAGTCTTATAGAATCATAGAAACCATTTGTTGCATGAATGCCTGCTACCAGCAAAAGTTACCATTTGGAACTGTTTGATACAAGACTGGATTTTTATTATTAGTATCATTATTGTCCACAGACGTACTGTTTCACAACTCATCAGTGTGGCTAGACATCCAATTGCCTCAAGCCAGGATCGAAACCTGGCCGACTTGGCATCAGTCAGAGATTTTACCCCTGAGCTGTCAGTATCCGGTTCAGAGGAAGGCTAATTTTTATGTACTTATAATTAGAATAAAAAGGCCAATGACTGATAGAGCTCAATTCATGGAAGAGCTTTGCAGTATTCAAAATAGCACGAATTTGTAAACAAAATAACTTTCTCCCAAGATAACTCGACTGGAATTAAATTTTCCAGGGGTTTCATTCTTATTTATTAAACCTATTATTGTTTGTTAATAATGTCTGTGAACATATTTTTTAAAAAAAAAAAAAAAATAAAAAAAGAAAAAAAAAAAAAAAAAAAAAATCAAAAAAAAAAAAAAAAAAAAAAAGAAACAAAATAAAAAAAGTAGAAAAGAAAAAAGAAAGAAAAAAGAAAAAAATTTCACAGAAAAAGTTTTTTCCCACAAATATCTTGTTTTCCTTTAATTCATATTTTTTTTCAATCATTTCACCCCAAGCAAGGTAATAAAGCCACTAAGGTGCAGGGGGGGGGGTTACCGAGTGCTAGAGAAGAAAAAAAAATATTAAAAAGGAAGAGGACAATAAAAGAAGAAGAATTAAGAAGGCAGAAGATGACAATTCCCATTGCATTTAAATTTTTGAAGATTAAAGTTGACTGGGAAGCAACAAACGAGAAGTGCAATAGAAGAAACTGTTAGCATAGAACTTGCGGTTACATCTCACCATTTCAACTGTAAAATGATGAGACCATGATGCCAATCTAGTAGTAGGCTTAAATTTATAAAGTCTAGGTAACAACAGAGGAAAGCGTATCAGAACAATTATCATGAAAGTATTCATAAAAAAAAAAGCATAAAAAAGCTACATTACGGTGGTGGGAAAGTGACTGAAGCTGAAATGCCAGGTCAAAACTAATAACATTGCAGATTCTTTATATTTTATTAAGAATCTCTAAATATATAGCAAAAGCACCAGACCAGATGTGACAGCAATATTCAATGCATAGGCAAATGGTAGACTTATAAATGTGTAAAATAGATTCTGGTGAGAAAAATTATTGAGTATAACACAGTAAACTAAATTTCTTAGCAGTAGACCTAGTAACTGATACAATATAATTGTTCCACTTAATGTCAGTGAAAGACAGTAGTCTGAATAATTCCAAGGAGTAACTCTCCTGGAGGTTGGCATCAGCCATGATGATCAAAGGAAAAAATGGTTTCTCACAGATGATTAAAAGAGAGCAGTTTCATTTCGAAGGTGTTAAAATTAACAAGCCATTCCTTGCCACAGTTAACAACAGAAAGTAGATCAACTGCCAATCTGGCTTTATCGAACTAATCAGACTATTAAGACAGTAATAAATGGTTGTGTCATTAGCATCGATATAGAGTCGAGAAGGTCATCAGGAAGGTCATTGATGATAATCAGGAAGAATGTAGGTTAAATGATAAAGCCCTAGGGATACCTGCCTTAATGTAAAAAAGACCTAGAAGAGTGGCCATTCAAAATAACTTTCATTTAGTGATTTGATAAGAGACTGAATCAGTTCAAAAATTTGTCCAGCAAGACCATAACCTTTCAACTTGTGAAGAAAACCGAAACCCTGTCAAATGCTTTCAAGATATCCAAAGGAACAGCCCAATGAACAAATGAGATGTAGTACAGGAGAAATACCTTCCACGTATACCGCCCACATAATTGTATGACATTAGTGGCAATGGTGTCTTCATCTAGCTAATATGTTGCCATTAAGTGGGAAGTATTTCTGCTGCACCCTGTATAAGAGACACTGTAGTAAGCAAGCAAGCAAGAAAGGGAAGATAATGCAGGTGATATAACATTCTCATACGTTTTACGTCTGCTTCAGTGAAACAGAAATTTATCAAGTTTTAATCCTTTCATTTGTACCCTCTTACTTCTTTAAATAACGACTGGCATTCAAACTCATTGCAATACATTTGTTAAGCTTTGTAGTTTTTCTATTTGAAGCATCCTCGATTAAAGACCAGGAAAGTGAACTGGGTTTTCTGACTTGAAGGAATTTCTAACTGGGGCACATCTGCAAAGTTATGCACTTTGATAAAAAGTGATTGTGATGACCACTTAACTGCTTTAAAAAAAAAAAAAAAAAAAAAAGCGGATGGAAGGGGTCATACTTTTGACTCTGTATATCATCTATACTTGCGTATCATGTGACTTCTGAAGACCTAATTTTGAAACTAATTTTAAGAGGGTGGCATTATACACGGGTTATAAAATCAGTCTATGTACTGATGGCTGGTGATCAAAATATATTTCCATTTACTGTCATCAAATTTACTTCAAGATTAGGTCTTCAAATGTTGCATGACACAAGTGTATATGCTATTTAAATTCAAGCTATACATTCATTTACTGTTGTCAAATTAGCTTCAGAATTTAGATCTTTAAAGGTCACATGATACACAAGTGTATATGGTATTTAAAATCTGTTTTTTTTAATAAAAAAGAAACACACTCAAATTTCCATTCCAGTTAAGATCATTGACCTGAACAATTCCATGACATCAATTTATGGAAGTGTCACCTTACTGCTATGCCATAACTTTTGGCACATCAGTGTATTTTACTGTGAAGATAACTTTAGCCAACTTTTAATACCAGTGTTATTTCTCCACTCCCCGGACTTGCAGGGAAAGAAACAGGTCAGTGGGCTGCAAAGTAACCCAATTGTCTGTTGCTAGAGTGACAAGTTCTGGAGACACTCTCAAGCCCTGGGAATAATAGCTTTACATTAACTGTCATTATATATATATTCATATTCATGGATTCCAAATTACCTATGTATAAATGTTTTTTTTTTTTTGTATTTTTTCTTTTCTATGTTCAGTTTAAGCCTCAATACCTGCTGTTTTTTATGCCGACAGTAAACAGACAAGCAGATATTTGTTAATCTAAACCAAATTATATATCAAGCTACATTTTTTGTTAAACATTTTACTGAAGAACTGTTATTAGCAGAAATCTTAGTAATAATTCATCGACAGAATTTGAATAATATTATTATGAATACAAATAGTGTATGCTGTGTATCAAGCATTCAGAGAAAATGGATAATGGAAGCTACATGATCAGATATTTATTGCTGAAACTAGTGTTTGTAGTCTAATAGATAAGGCAGCTACCCCAGATAAACTGGCTTCCCTAAGATAAGAGAAGTGAGTTGGTCTGATTGAAGGCTTATTTATTTACAAGCCATGCTGTTTGCCAACAAACACAGAATGATTGTCTGAGAGTTGTATTAAAGAGTAGCAGTAATAAGAGAAAAGAAATACTTATTAAAAAGTCATAATTAAAGATGTATAATGGTTGTATGAGGTTATCTTATGACAATGTCTGATCATCTATTATGGTTTTGTGTATTGGTCTTTGATTAAAAAGAAATGCACAGTGTTAAGTGATTGATTTGTTTTTTTTTACAGTTTATCAACCTTTTGCAGGTTATTTAAAGCCAGAAAATATTTTTTAGATTTTAAGAAATTTTTTTCACATAATAATGATTCATTGATATGAATCTTGCTAATTAACCTACAGCTGGGGAGAGAAGAGGTGGATTCATATGGTTTCCAAGGATATTTGTGCCTAAGTGAATATAATAAACAAAACTGAAATTGAAACTCGGCTCTGTGATTAACAATTTCAAACCAGTAACCATTACACCACCTGCACATTCTGCTATTCCCAAGTAGTTACTCATGTCAGCAACTGACCAAGCTCAACATTGCTTAACTTTGGGGATTGTATGGGAACTGGTGCTTCAATGTGATATAGCCATATATATATATATATATATATATATATATACACACACACACACATACATACATACATACATATGTGCGTGTGTGTGTGTGTGTATATGTCTACATATATATCTTTTCATGCTAAAATTCCATATATATATATTATGAAATGGACAAAGTCCTACAATTATTTTAAAAAGAATGTATAAACATAAAAATGTCTTAAAATACATACATATATATACATATACATACATATATACATATACAAATATGAAGAAAAATATGGAAAAAACCAAACAAAAATTCTAATATACAATTATGCTGTTTTAATGTTAATATAATGTCAACGTCGGACGTTTCGGTCTAGTAGACCATCTTCAGGACATATTCATAAAACATAATTAACATTAGACTATTTATTTATTTATATTATTTTGTTTGTTTTTTCCGTATATTTTTCTTCATACTGTCTATATCTATATATTTGCTTACATATACAAATATACATACATACATATACATACACCTACTCATATATACATACACATATACCTACACATATATACATATACCTACATACATACATACATACAAATATACATACATATATACATACATAGATATACATATGTGAGTTTGTGACCCTGGGTTTCAGGATTTTGCGATTGTCAGACAAACAAAAATATATATATATATATATATGAATCTATGTATAACAAAAAGAAAAGAGAATAAAGATTAAAAAGGTAAATAAAATAAAAAAGTACTTACTTTGATATGGATATTCCTCCTGGTTTCCCGATATACTCTTCATGATGTAAAACCCTATCATCCCATTCTAAGTCTAAGAAATCCAGAATCTTCCGCATCCAGAACTCTGGATGTAGAACAAGTTTTTCATAATAGACAGGCATGCACCTGCTGGGTCCGACTTGCACGCACTGTGAATACATAGATTCCATTGCTTGGTTCCACTTCTTCAGGCATTTACTATAACTGGTCAGGTCGAAACCAGTAATGGTCACCTTACGCGTAATAATGGAATGGACAACGGCTCTTCCGTCACGTATAAGTAAGAGAAAACGAGCATTTGGGAAAAGTTGTTTCAGGTAGATACTCGACTTCAAAGTAAACGGATCCTTATTACACAAGCGGGGTGCAGCCTCCCCATGCTTGGCAATAACCTCGAGGATAAAAGCCGAAATGGCCGAGTCGATGACCTCTGATGTCATCCCAGCTTCCATTAGTCGCTTCTTTTCCACGGCAGATTTTTCCCACTGAAAACGCATCGCAAGGATCCTAGGGATCACGCGGGTCTCTTCGCCGCACCGTACCAAGGGGTGTGCGTCGAGCATTGCCCGCATGAGTGTGGTCCCACTCCGAGGCATTCCACCGATAAATATCAGTGGCATGTCCTTGTTGTAGGGGATGGCATGGTTCTTCTCATCATAGATGTAGCGTATAGGGTCACTGGGGACCATGTAGACTTTTGGTCCACCAACGCAGGAGAAGGTCTGGTAGGATAAGTAAATACAGACGACAAGGAGAGCCGCACCCAGGAAAACACGTTTCCGGATGCTTCCTTTTCTTCCATGTATACTTATCATTATTTACAGGAACAAGCGACTCCGCACAGCTGGAAGACAGGGATTAGGGGAAACTGGGAAACGAGAAGGCTTAGACTACTGCTGTTCCTTGGGGCTGGCGTTGATGCTGCAGCCGTAACAGATGTCAGAGGCTCATAGCGGCATCTGATTTTGTCTGCGGTCCTTGTAGAATAGTCTGAGGTAAAGACTCAAGGCACGAAGATTGGATGGCCATAATCATGGAAGAATTCATTATACAGAAACCTGAAATAAGAAAAGAAAAAAATATTTCGGTTAGGATGGTTAAATAAAACACATATCAATGCTCGTTGGGTTATTATCAAATATGTGTAAGTTTCATAAGACAAAAAGACAAGAAAATTGAAAAGGCAGACCTAGGACCAATTTACATGAGAATTGAAAAGGTAGTCCTAAGTTTTGTTTACACACGAGTTGGGAAGTTGGTCCTAACTCTGGTTTACATGAGAATCAATAAAGGTGGTCCTAGGTCCCAGTCAACTTTAATCTTCAAAAATTTAAATGCAAAGTCATTTATTATCTTCTGTCTTGATGACAAGAATGTTATCTTGAGAAGGCACAACAAGTCACTTTTCTGGAGGTTAGCATCAGCCATGATCATGGAAGGCAGAGAGTGATCTCTCAGATGATTAATGAAGAACAGTTTAGTTTTGGAGGCGTTAAAATTAACAAGCCATCTTTGGCCCTAGTTAACAACAGACTGAAGGTCATTTTGGACATCAGCTGCTATTCTGACCTTATCAAACTAATCAGATTATACTACTGAGACAGGAGTAAATGGCTGTGTTATCAGCATAGATATCAAGTTGAGAGCTGATGCTATCGAGAAGGTCACTAATAAAAATTAAAAATGAAATAGGACCAAAGATGGAGCCCTAGGGGGGGACATCCACATTAGTACGAAAGGATCTTGGAGAGAGGTTGTTTTGGACAACTTTTGTTTCATGGCTTGGTAGGAAAGACTGGATCAATTCAAAAATTTGTCCAGAGACAATTGCTACAGTTTGCTTTTTTGTTAAAATGAATCATTCCTTTCTTGATAGTTTTAATTTTTTTTTTTAGTTTCATGCATTTTCTGAATACATGGGAACACCATCATCCAGATACTCCCTTTCTTTAATATCTGTTGTCATGACTTTTTGGGAAATATAGTTGAAACGTTCACACTATTTACCTGTTGTCCTCACCTTCATTGCCATATTCACTATGTTTCAGCCATTGTACACTCCACCTTCTTCAGGTGATTGGAATTTGGAACTTAACCCTTTATTTCATCCACCAGGGTAGACTGTTCTACTTCCATGTGCCTTACCACTTCTGTATCAGTTATCTCCCTTTAACACAACTCTCCAAGTGTTTGTTCACCTCTGCTGTAGCTAGGTATTGAACTCATAACTCTTTGGGTAAACTCACTGGATTCAACCAACACTTATCTACTGTGTCATATGGACATCAGTGTATGAATTTTGGGGATTTATAAAAGTAATGCCTCATCAATCATTTTTTACCAGAGCTCATATTACAATTTTGTTGTTATTATTGTTTTTCTCTAGCACTCGGTTTTACTGGTTCCGATATTGCATTCATTTCTATGCTATGCTTGAGTTAAAGGGAGATAAATAATACTGAGATATCTGGAGGCATGTCACGTGGAACTAGAACAATCTACTCAATCATAGAAATGAATACAATAGTAAGGCCGGAGTGTACAATGGCTGAAACATCAGGAATATGGCAACGAAGATGAGGACAACAGTCTGAACAATGGAAATAGTGTATATAAGGAATGTAGCTCGTCTGAACTACGCCATGGAAAGGGTGATAAGAGAAGTGAGAAGTGTGATGTGTTGCCTGTGGGAAAGGGGTTGTAGAACAGAAAATAATTCATCACCCACAAGGCCATGTAGATGCTAGCAATATGAAATAATGCCAGATTAAAAAATTACTTGCTTAAAAATGTGTGCATGTATAAAAACATGTTTTTCCAAGTTGTGATGTTAGCCCCTATTTCTACCCTCATCCCAAATTTTACAAACATGTTTTAAGTACAATTGTGTTTGTGATGAAACATAGGAATATTAATAATTTTTTTTATTTCTGTGAAAACGCAGATTAAGATTTTTTTTCTTTTTTTATTACCAGTTAATTCGTAGCCAATTCTCGGAAGAGAACCTCCCCTTCCCCCCATCATTTCATGTCTGGTCTCTAATTGTAGGCCAGATGAACGCTGTGTGATGAATAGGTGCAAGTGACCCCGTCAATATTATATGAATGACAGCTACGCATTTTTCGTAGGCTGACACGTGACGGTTTTGTTTTGTGTGTGTCGGGGTAATGATTCTTCACTCAGTTGCTTGCCTTTGGAAGAAGCGGACGTCATCAAGTACCAGTGCTAGCTGTTTGCTGCCCGTAGAAGTGGACGTCACCAAATACCAGATTTCACTGTTTGTGGCCCGAGGAAGCAGATATCGCCAAAATCAGATTTTGCTGTTTGCTGCCCGAAGAATTAAGAACATCATCACCCAAGTTGGCTACGCTTTTATGATTTACATGTGTATACTAGAACATTGATAATACCCCCACTTTTATGTTCAAAAGAAAAATAGAATAGTATATGAACATCCTTTTCGTTAAACTGTGTTACTGATAAAAACCCGATCGACGTCGATCTCCTGTAAGTGTTGCATGTTTTTTTTATATATCTTATTGTGTGCTTGCTCTATATTCCTATGTTATTCGTCGCAGTAATATTTGTCTAATTGATTACTTATCTCCCCATCCCTTGTGTTATTAAGTTTCGTTTTTTTTTTTCTTGTTCCTTGTACATTTCTAAATAAATTGTTTGTACAGTGTAATCCGGATATAAGAGAAACCCGGATATAAGAGACTTCTTCTCCAGTCCCGACAACTCTCTTATATCCAGGTTACACTGTATCATAAATTCTCATATTGTCTCCTGTCGTTCTGTGTCTGCACATTGTTTATTTCTTACTGCATTTACCAGTGTCTGGATTTGTAGAATTCCCCTCCCACTGTTCTTTTCTTTGTTTTTTGCATTGAACCTTGGGACCTCTTCTTTCTCTTATTTTTTTTTTTTTTATTTTCTCGTTGCGTTCTGGCTTTCGTAGTCCCAACGAAACCCCAGGCGTAACAAAGTCTACAGTTTATATATCCGAAGGGTTGTTGAATAGTTCAACCAAGGAGCTCTTACAAAAATTCTATGTTTGACCAAATTTTGAGAAATGGAAAACTTTTCAGCACCCCCTCGTGTATCTCTTACGATATACCCAAGATGCTTTTTCGACCCCTACTCCTTAGTGATCCGCCCTCCTTAGCAATCCTCTGCCCTAGCATAAATGAAGCAGTAATTTTTGTTGATGGCAAATCAGTTCGTGTATCAGATCCAAAAACCAATGTAATCTGTGTGGCAAGGAAAACCGCCAAACTTATTTTATTTTCACTCCTCTCATCTCCCCCTGACGCTTTACCCCCAAAATGCTGAAACACTTCCCAAGTATTTTGCTGTTGGGACCATTGTTTGCATCATGTCGATAACTTGCCACCCTCTGCAACACCATGCCCGGCATGATTTCTTTGTGTCAAGCCAATTGCTTTTGTGTATTATTCCATTGCCAATTTCAAAAAGGAGATTAGCGAACACGCTTGCACAGACAAAAATACCTGTGACGGCTGAGGGTGATTTGTCAGGAGCCGAGATACTATCAAGAAAAACCTTAATTTCATTTCTTGCTTAAATCCTTTGCTAAACCAATTGCCTGCTGTTGCCAAGAAATAGCAGCCGTGTTTATGTACTGTCGGTGATTGTAACATGTTTAGGTGGCTGGGACAGAAGCCAAGAAAACAAAGTTTTAACCTTTTAGGAAATCATATATTCAGTGAGGGTTTTGGTATAATCATTTTTTTTTTTTCTCAGTTGAAAGTAACAGTAAGAAACATAACAAGAAATACCTAAATCCTTCAATTTTCTTTGATTTTGGGGGCATTTGAACTTGTATATGCATATTCCTGAATATGTTTGTCACCAAGCATGACATCCATGTAAAAATCTCCATCTGACGAAGCTGTCTAAGAACATGTCTTGAGTTTTCATCATTTGTTTTGGCGTTGTAGCAATTTGTGGTATTGGGCAAAACTACACCCTAGCATAGCCTATTTTCTGATAACAAGCAGATGAAAGTGCTCATGGATTCCCATTTAAAATCTTGCCTTGAGTTTTATGCTAAGACAATCTCCAAACAATAAAGCTATATGGCCTAAAGATTGCCTTAGCCTGAAACTCGGAGTCATAATTTTAGATCAGAACCCTTGGGTGTTTTTTTTGTGCTTGTTGTTACTGTTCTGTCTCGAATGATTTCTAGAGATACTGAGCACTATAAATTTTTCTTTATGTCGGTGTCTGTCTTTTCTTTTTTCGGGTTTTCTTCTCTAGCAGGCTTTCCTATTGGTAGGGTTGATTTTTAACATTTTCTCTTTCACAATTTCTTGGTTTGTTTTATATATATATATATATATATATTCATGAATTATTCACACAAAAACAAAAGCAAAGGTTAATGATTTAATTGGCGAGAAATCCATCATCGCAAACAATTCAAATAATATACAAAAACCTCCGAATCCGTTATGAATGAATTGATCCTTGTTTCCATAAATTTCTGCCGTATTAGTTCTTATTTTTACTACAAGCTTTCGTCTGTTCCTACAGACATCTTCAGGTATAGAATAGATGTTGTTCTTGTTTTTTCTCTTAGTAATAAAAGGACAACGAAAATATATGTATTGTTATATCCGAAAATGCTATTGAAAATGAGTTATTGTTTTTGGAACGCAAAAGT